CTCCCGCCGTCCCCCCCTTCCCTGGGCGCTGCCCAGGGACCTCCTCTCCCGGCCCGGCCCCACCCGTCCCTCCGCCCTCTCACCCCCGCCCCGCGCCCATCCCGCCTTCTGGCAGCCAGGAGTCCGCGGAGAAGCCGGCTACCCGGGCCCCAGCGGGGATGCAGGCGCCCCGGGGGTGCAGGGCTACCCCGGGCTCCCGGGCCCTCGAGGACTGGCCGGAGGTCGAGGCGTGCCGGGACAGCCTGGGAGACAGGGCGTGGCGGTGAGTTGGCTCCAGGGCAGGCGGATTCTCCTAGATGAGAGATCGCTTTGAGGGTGCGGCTTTTCCCCCAAAGGCTGGGAGTTCCCAGAGGCCCGTCGGCTTCCCTGAGGCTGGGTCCAAGCCCCAGATCGCAGATGTGTGTGGGTGCCCCAGGAGGGATTTCAGTCAGAGAAGGAAAATCTTTTCTGGGAGAAGAAGGGGGCAGGGCAGTCAGAGGGTGCAGGAGTGGTCAGCCCTGGCAGCCAGGGGCTTCTTCCTGAAAGGCCTTCTCTGCTTTCAGGGCCGAGATGCCAGTGACCAGCACATCGTAGACGTGGTACTTAAGATGCTGCAAGGTGCGTGGAGGGGCAGCAACCCCTCCTCAAGGTCCATTTCAGGGCATTCCCACCCTTTGGGGGCCTACCCATGTCTCCTTGCCCGAGTCTGGAATCCTGGGTGCTCACTCTAGCTCTCCCTCCAAGGGGCTGCAGAATCTTGGATAAATAACTCTGGACTTTTGAGTTCTGCAGAACAGGGCCTGAGGAAGGACGAACTTAAACATTGGGCTTTTCTGCCTGCAAACCTAGGGGCCAGGGACCATGAGGATGCTTGGCCTTCCCTAGTATTGCTGAATTGACACCCGTTTCACTGACCTCCCTCCCTCCCTCCCTGCAGAGCAACTGGCAGAGGTAGCTGTGAGTGCTAAGCGGGAAGCCCTGGGTGCAGCCGGGATGATGGGCCCCCCAGGGCCCCCGGGCCCCCCTGGGTATCCAGGCAAGCAGGGACCCCATGGGCACCCTGGTCCTCGGGGCATTCCTGGCATCGTCGGAGCCGTGGGTCAAATTGGCAACACAGGACCCAAGGGTGAGTGCTGTTCTGTGGTGGGAGTGGGGTCTAGACAATGGGATTCGGCCAGGGGCCTGTTAGATGGGCAGACTGCTGGGCCTCGCGATCTCCCCCATCTTTCACTATTCCCCTTCCCAGGATGAGATACAGACGCTTCTCTCATTCCCTCAGCCAAACTGTCCAGGAGACACTCCTGGGCTTTCTTTCCCAGTAGCAAATCGATGGAAATGAATGTACTATTTTATAATTCAGGTTTTAGGGGGTTTGTTTTAATTTGCTTAATGGTATCCCATAAACATCTTTCCACGTCTCTAGAGAGGGGGAAACAGATCAGAAGAGAGGTAAAGCAGGCAGGCTCTAGTGTCACAAGACTTGGATGTGAATCCAGACTCTGACATTTTCTCATGTGGCCATTGGATAAAGTTACCTATTAATTTCTCTGGGCCTTAGATTTATCATCTGTAAAACAAGGACATTAATAGTACCCACCTCATAGTGTTGTAGTGAGGACTGCATTTAGAGGTAACTTACATAGAGTTCTTAGTTCACTGTTTGTATATAGTAAACGCTAGATATTGGTATTATTAGATACTTTACAGTAGTAAACTTTATCAGTTACATAATCTTCCATCTTTTGTGTGGACCTTCCTTTATTGAACCAGCCCTATACGGTCATCTCCAACTTTCCCCTATTATAAACTAGCACCAAACAGGAAAATTGCTGTGTGTAAAATATTAAATAACAAATGAAGTAAAAAAACCAATTCTGACTAAGACTTCCTTTTTGACTATAGGGAAACGTGGAGAGAAGGGTGATCAAGGAGAAGTGGGACGTGGGCCCCCCGGGATGCCTGGACCTCCAGGAATCCCAGGTAAGACTGTGTCCTTGCCCAGCTACAGTTCTGTCCCTCAGCTCAGGGATTAATGACCCATGGACACCTGGACCTTTCCTATGAGTTCTCACACTCAGCCAACTCAGGCCTAGATACCAGCTTCTGCATCCCTTTGGAGCACCCAGGAGTCTCTGGGTAGGGTCTGTCTGGGACTCTGAGGACTTCCTGGGATGCACCACAATCAGTTCATGGAGGGGAAGGAAGGGACATTTGCTTCCAAGACTCACTGATTGAGAGTTGGGAGTAGTGGACAAACAATCACAGAATCTCTGTGTCTGGGGCAGAGTCCTTTTTTCCTGTGGTGGTCTGGGCCTTGTTTTTCCCACCTGAAAAATGTCCCCTTTCAGAATTCTAGCGCTGAGACAAGAGGAGGCCCTGACCCCTTGACCTTCTCCCTTTCACAGGACTCCGTGGCCGGCCTGGCCAGGCTATCAATGGCAAGGATGGAGATCGAGGGTCCCCAGGGGCGCCAGGAGAGGCAGGCCGACCTGGCCTGCCAGGCCCCGTGGGGCTGCCAGGCTTCTGTGAGCCTGCAGCCTGCCTTGGAGCTTCAGCCTATACCTCTGCACGCCTTACTGAGCCAGGATCCATCAAGGGGCCATGAGCATCAGGCCAGGACAGAGCCCGTTGGGCATCCTGGGGGAGGAGTAGGTCCCTTCTGGGTGGACATACATATCATCCCCCAGCCCAGAAAACTAGCTTTTCCAGGACCTTCTGTCTAGGACCAGGAGTCCTGAGGAAAAGAAATTCTAAAACATGAGGGAAAGGGAGCAAGGGCATTGGAGTGAAAAGGTGAGGCCAACAGGCAAGGCAAGTGTCACTGGACAGTCGAAGTTCCAAAGCTCAAAGGGAATAGGATGACTTTCCTTCCTGGAGTGGCATTCGGATGTTACCAAAACAAATGTCTCCTTAATGCGCACCATTCTCCACTGGCCATCTTGTCCTTGGGGCAGCTGGACTGAGGTCTCTGCTGGTTCCTGGTCCCATTCTCGCTCTCTGGATTTTCTGGGTGACTGCTGATGGGTGACCACCCAAAGGTGGCCATCCTTAAGCCAGTCCCACTACGTTCTTCCGCCTCCCATCTGAGTATTTAAACACCCATCTCCCTTCTCTCTCTGGCATTACTCTTTCCCGCCCTCTGCCCCCTTTCTCCTCAGATCCACCAAGGCCCTTCTGTAAATAAAAGCCCCCAACTTGGGTTCAAACTAGGATGTGAGTTGTTGAGCTTAATTTCTTGTGGATTGGGGGTGGGAGGTTGTTGTTGGGCCTCCACTGCCTGGACAGGATGGTCAGAAGCTCCGGAAGGGGAGAGCAGGGGAGGGTGTGGAGCACCGTTCTCTGGGCACATCCTGTGAGCATTAGGATGGCATGGCATGTCTGAGGAGCATCTGTGGGAATAACCTGGGAGTGGAGGCAGGATGGTGACCTGCTGTGTGACTTTGGGCAAATCCTAAGCCTTTGTACAGCTGTGGCAAGAATGCAACCATGTTTTATTTATCCCAGTAGAGCACATCCAGTGTCTTGTCAGGGCCTGGCACCTGGGAGGTCCTCTGTGAGTTTTGGCATCAGCCGTGTGCTGGCCCTGTGGCAGGAGCTGGTAGTGAAAGACTGGAAGACCTAGCTCTTGCCTTCCTTTGGTTCCTAGGCCTGTGAGAAAAGCAGATGTGGACCTGGATGATGAAAATCTAGGAAAGACTGGCTCAGATCTGATCTGTACCCTCTGGGGGCTCCCGCCCATTACTCTGCAGGCCACTAAAGAGCTTTTGAAATTCAGGGAGTGGCTGATTTCTTTGCTCTATTATTGATTTGGGCATTTGTTGCCTCCAGATGAAGCACTCTGCCAGCCCCAGCTCCTCCCAGAGGCCCAGGACTCCAGCCTGAAGTCCAAGCATCTGCTGAAGCCTAGGCCCTCCCACACCTCACCACAAACTTGGCTCTAGCCCCCACCAGTGCTGGAGTGCCCTCCTTCTCTTCCTCCTCCCCCAACCGGCAGAGGCAGAGCACTCCTTCACTAGCCCACCCTCCTCTCTCCCACCTCCCCAACATGCACATTTACCACTAGTGACATCTCAGTCCCCTTACCCCAAACAGGGACAGATAGGAATGACAGGGTGGGGTAGCACTGAGGGTAACCAAGGTGGCTTCACCTTCAGTGCCTTGTCAAATCCTGAGTTACAGCATCCCAGCCCCACAGAAGGCCCCGCTGCTGCTGCTGTGGCCATCAGAGGAGGCCCTGGAATGCAGAGAGAATCTGGAGCTCAGTGGAGGAAGGGAAGAGGAGGAGAGCTGCAGAGACAGCTGGAAGCCTAGCCCTGGGCAGGTGGGCTCTCAGGCATTACATACCTGGTGCAGGGGAGGGTTCTCCCTTCCCTAGGCTGGATCACTTACTTGGTCCTAGTGCCTGAAAACTTGTCTCTTTCTGTGACTTTCCCTGAGACCGGGTCCACTGGAAGTTTTCAATTACCACAGAGAAACTAATGATGCACGAATTTCATGCAGAGTTCCACCTCATTCCTTATGATTCAGGTATTTGAAGGGGCTGAAAGGGGGCTAATTCCTGAGGGCCAGCGCCTGGTAGCCTTTGTAAGACTTCCCGCTAGGTGAATTTCACTCAGATCACTTACCTGTGATCTACAAGAGCCTCTCTGACCTCACCTCAAGCCTCGGACCCTGGCACATTCCACTCCAACCATGGCAGCTCGTGTATTCCTCAAACATGCCGGGCCACACAGTGCTATGCTCTCAGCTTGGAATGCTCTTCCCCAAAGTAATACCGCTGCCAGCGACCTCACTTCAGGTCTTTACTTGAAAATGACCTTATCCCTATCCTGATATTCAAGATACCCCTCCTATGCTTTATTATTTCTCCTTAGCACTTACCACTATTCAACATAAAACACTAGAATATCAGCTCCATAAAGGCAGAAACTTTGGTCTCTCTTGTTTGCTGTTCTGTTCTCCAGCACATAAAACAGTGTCTGGTACATGGCAGGTGCTCAAATGAATGAATAATATGTCAAAAGAAGACCCTAGCAATCATCAACCCAGGAGGAAGAGATCTGGGCCTGGCTTGTGTGTGGCTGAGGTGTCTGCCAACATGGCCCAGAGTGTCTAGGTTATTCCTTCCACCACCAAGAATAGGGACATGCCCCTTGACAACTGAATCCTGGGAGGCAAAAAGTCTAGTGCAACGAAAATGAAGTAGGAACTTAACTCTCCTTTTTGCAATTAGGAAAAAGGGGATTGAAGGCGCTTAACAGAAAGGGCATTGCAGCAAGATAACCCAGCCTCTTGGTAGAGGTTCAACACTGCTCCTCCAAGGCAGCCCGTGAGGACACGGAGAGTCCCAAACCTGCCTCTGCCGACTCCTCTTTCAAAACTCTATCTTTCTGGCAATCCTCTCCTCACCCCAATGGGTGGTCGGGTTAGGAACTTTTATTAATTTTGTATTTATTTACATCATAGCAATGTTGGTGAATTATTAATATCATCATTAGCAAGTACTAGTTATTGAGCTCTTATTAGAAGTATCAGGTAATGTGCCAAGCCCCCTGCAAACATTATCTCATTCTATCCCAGTAAAGCAAGTATTATCCCCATGTGTTTTGTTAAAAAATAAAATAACTCTCTAGACCCTACTTCTGCCTGCAACTGCCAGCCCATATTTTTGCCCGTTTTTATGGGAATAAAAGATTGTCTAATTTGGCTTCTAGCTCACCGCACAGTCCTCAGATTCCTTTGCTGATTTCTCATCTGCCCAGTATCTGAAAGTCAGTGTGGTCCTGGGAACACATCTTTTTCTCTCACTCCTCTCATGACCTCATTCAGTTTCATGGCTCTAAACACCATCTTTTCATCCCCAGTCCAGATCTCCCTGCTTAACTTGATTCATTTATCCAACTTCCTACTCAGTATCTACCCTCAGATTCAAGTAAGGCATCTCAAACTTGACATGTTCAAAATGGAATTCCTGATCTTCCCCTCCAAAATCCACCCTCCTGCAGTCTTTCCACAACTGGATTTGCCAGTTACTGGCAATTCCAACCTTTCAGTTACTTAAGCCAATACACTAGAGTCATCCTCTATTCCCACTTTTTCTCTCACAGCCCATATCTGATCCATCAGCAAACCCTGTTGACTCAGCCTTCAGAATATATCCAGAATCCAACCACTTCTCACCACCTCCTTGTCTAGCACCATTATTTCTTGCCAGAATTATTATGAAAGCCTCCCAACTAGTCTCCTGCTTCCTCCCTTGCTCCTCAACATAGAAGCCAGAGTGACCCTGTTAAAACTTATGTCAGATCGTGTCACTCCTTGGCTCTAAACACTCCAATGGCTTTCCACCACACTCAAGTAAAAGCCTGAGTTCTTACAATGGTCTACAAGTCCCTGTAAAATCCACCCACCCCTTCCACTTCCCCCTAGCACACACCATTCCAGATACCCTGGCCTTCATGTATTTCTCAAACACTGCCCCCCGCTGGCTCCTACTTCAAGGCCTTTACACTTGCTGTTGCCTCTTTCTGGGATACTCTTCTCCAAGATACCTGCTTAGAGCACCCTTCGCTTCCTTCAGGTCTTGGTTCAAACATTATCTTCAACGATGCCTTTCTGTGACCACCCTATTTAAAATTGCAACTCCTACCCTCCCATATAAACACTTCAGCACCTCTTTTTTCTCCAAAACATGTACCACCATTTAATATCTATTTATTTCGGTTGTCTGTCTCCCCATACTAAAATGTAAACTCTATGAGGTAGAGGATTTTTCTACCTTTTGTTTACTAATGTATTCTCCAGCACCCAGAGCAGAGTTTGGTATGAAGTAGGGACTCAATATGTGTTGACTAAACAGATGGAGAAATGTAGGCTCAGTCAAGTTTCTTACCCAAAGTCTTACTAGCAAGTATTATGTTGGATTCTAGAACCCTAGATCCTAACCCTAAATTATGCCTTACCTATTATTAACCATCACCCAGAGAGCCAGAGGGGAGCTCTGATTTGAGGGCAGAGGCTGTTATTTGCTCACTTGGTGTGGGCAGTCCTGGTTTCATAAGTTTTTACAACACATGGGAGTATCTTCCTATCTGTCTCTGGTCAAATCCTCCTCCCTGGAAATCATCCTGAATAATAAGAGCCCAAGGTTTCCCAATCCATATTGTCTGAATAGGGTTATCACATGAATAATGAATAATGCCAAATAATGAGATTATTTTTGCCATCCCACCAAACTGTACTTAGCTGACACACAAGTGCTTTCAAGGTACTTGCTCACATAATTGTGGCCTTGGATCCAAGTTTTGGATTACAAGTTCCTTGAATTTTCTTTGTAAAGCCCCTAGGACAGAGCTTAAGGTCCTCAAGTGGTACTTAGAAAGATTTCTCCTAATGATGATAGAATACTTAAAACAGTCAAAGCTACATAAAGTATGTATGTACAAGACTATCCAAAGGACTGACGAAAAAGACCAAGTGGGAGAAAGATTCCTCAGAGAGGAAAATACTACATAAAGGATTAGGGGTAACAGTGAGGATATAAAGTGTAAGGGGCAAGCTCGGACCATCACTGGTACTAAAACCATAGAATTGATCCCAGGAATTATGCTCCTATCCTAGAAAGAGGCAGAATTTACTAGCAACTCTCAGACTTCAGCAAAGGGCCAACTTAGATAAAGGCACTATATACACACAACAGAGACTATGCCTTGGATTCAGAGATCAGTGCTATTGAGGTCGTGCTGTTTTACCCAGGGCTTTACCTACTTGTATATCTGCCAAGTATTAGGGTGCAGGGTGCCACCTCTTGCCTTCCTGGGTTGCTCTATCTATACTTCCCCCGATTGGTCTATATCTCAGAAAACCACCAATTTCCTTCTGGCCATCCTCATGCTTCTGACATCCCTAAATTGTGGGTGACTAAGTCAGTCACATATTAAAAAGCCAATTAACTGCTGCCATATGTAAAGAAGACCAAAGAGGCAGTTGGAACAGACCAGGCAGGCTCAAGACAATCTGAGGTTATTAAAAATGGACAGGGAATGATTCCAAATGAAGCTTCTAAGGAAACATCAGCAAGAACTGGTGATGCTCTGGAGTGAGCAGGAGGAAGCTACTCAAGAAGACTCTGAGGCATGGTGATGGAGCTGACACCACTCAGCATTAGAGCTATTTCTTCATACTACTCTTCACATACTAGCATTCAGTTCCTCTAGGGTAATAAACACACATCTAGGTAACAAGTGACACGCAAATTTAATCAAATTAAAGACAAATTATATAAATCTGCATTGGCAATTTTTAATGTTTCACTTGTGCAGAACTGAAATTTGTATTTAAAGGCACAGAAGGAAGGAAAGGCAGTTATCACAGCATGAAGTTACAGTTAAAGAATGCTGCATAAAAAAACCATAGGACTGTTCCTCTTTAGTATTAGGAAAATAAATAATGCAGTACTAACTAGATTTTTATTTTTATTATGTTTCCATTTGAAGATATCATCCAAATGTAAGCCAAGCAAAAGACTTTATGGCCAGATACCAAAGGTGCACAGTCAATCCCACATAGGAATCAATGCCCAAAGGTAAACATTATCAGTGAGTGGGAGCTCTAGGCACAAAATAAGGTTTCATTCAGAAAGTGGACAGGCATGTAAAGTAATGAAAACCACAGCTTTTTAAACTGAAAATCTTTCATGACATTTGTTTTGAAAGCAAACATTATCTGCATATCAGGAACTATAATTTTCAAAAATGGAATCAGCCCTAATTAAATATTACTTACGACTTACTGATTAAAAATTACAAAAACAAAAACTAAAATGCTTCTGTCCTTGAGAGAGAAAATTATATTTTTTTCCTGTAATATCATAAGAGAATCATCATGTCTCTTAAAATGTTATTTCTTATTTTTCCATGTTCTGCCACTTTTAACATAGCAAAACCTGTTCAATATGGCAATTTCTGCTAAGTGCTAAGTGAAAAAATACACTATTATTGAATAAAAGAGAATGAATGAGAAAAAGCTACAATTTACCCTTAATGGGACCATACCTGCCAGGTGGGAAGAAAAAGACTAAGATTTCCTTAAAAACAAAAACAAAACTCAATGATTTAAAATATCTTACACATAATTTCTAATTTCAAAGCACTATTACAAACTCCTGATCAGTGTGCAGCAAGAGAGGGAACAGGGAAATTTGAAATTTGGTAGAATGATCAGCAGAGCATATTTCTAATTACTTTTTTTTTTTTTTAAAGATGACCGGTAAGGGGATCTTAACCCTTGACTTGGTGCTGTCAGCACCACGCTCTCCCAAGTGAGCGAACCAGCTATCCCTACATAGGGATCTGAACCTGCGGCCATGGTGTAATCAGCACCACACTCTCCCAAGTGAGCCATTGGCCAGCCCTCTATTTACTTTCATTTAAATAGCATTAGCCAACTATTATCTTTCTTTCTTATTTAAAACACTGATTGGCCAGGTTAAATAATAACAGGGATGAAAGTAAAAACCAGTTTCAACTTAGGTGTAAGCACAATGATTTGGGACCACTGCTTCTGCCTGACAGAAGGGACTCAGAGGTGGTGTTCCCTCTTTTAAACATATGCCCCAAACACCTTAATATGCAGATTCCATATAAGCATATAAATAAAACAAGTGCTGTATTTTCTCAATTCTACCAGTTGGTGGTAAATTAGATGTCAAAGATAAAAGAAAACTACACCTTTAAAAACATTAAGCCTCAAAATTTCACCCAGTGTTTTCTTTAAGAAATGGATTATTAAAATCATTTTTGAAATGAAATGTTAAATGTATTTAAATCTGAGCTCATCTGTACTTAATAATTTTTCTTTAAAAAAAAAGAAAAAGTTTAAAAACATCAAGAGCTGGAACATGCTGCCAGGACAGAAATAATCATAAATGTCTTCAGTCACAGACCCTGGGCATTTCAGTCTTGCTTTGTATTTTTCAAAGCTTGAAGTCTCTCTAGTAGCGGAGGATGAGAATAATGCCACATTGAAAACAACCAATCAGAAACAGGGAATCCCAAGTTATCTTTGTTTAGTTTGATTAAAGCAGAATATAAGTCTTTAGCCTTCCCCAGTTTCTTGGCAAATGCATCAGCTTGAAACTCAAATCTGCGGCTCAGGACTGTCAGGCAAAAAGAAAGAACCTGAAAAAAATAAATGTAAGGGTTTTAACTACCATCCACCTCTCTGTTGTCACTGAAGATTTCCTGAGGTGAGACTGTAGAGCAAGCCTGGCTTTGGATAAGAGAAACAGCAATCCAGAGGACTAGTATTTAGAGGACCCAGAGTAGGGGAATTATCATAAATTGAGCCTTTTCTCCCCAAGCAAACAGACCAGAACAGATATATGTCCAAACGAATGTCATCCTTACTAAAAAATACCAATTTTGGAGAATCTGCCATATGCCAGGAAACGAGCTAGGCACTGTACATATTCTCTTATTCCTGCTTTACAGATAGGAAAGTGAAGCTCAGAGAGGTTAGATAACTTGCTCAAAGTCACACAGCTGGAAGGTGGTAGTGCTGAAATTCTTGGTGACTCCAAAGCCAATGCATACCACCTTTCTCAGAGTCAGGGTTAAATCATGGTAATTTATATTGAGACCCTTTTTTTCTTTTAAAAAAAATTCTTGATTACTTATCCACCTTTAAAGGATTATGACAGTCTTCACTGAAATTATTCTAAAAAATATGCCACAGCCTCTGACAACAATCTCGAAATTGAGTTTTCTAAAGTGTTCTGAGCTATGGCAGCACTGCCAGAATAAGTATATGACTTCTGAAGGTGAGCATCATAAAGGGGACAAATTTCATTTGAAAATGTAAATTCTGAGGAAAAAATAATTTCTATACTTAGGTATTGCAGGTTGAATGACATAATGTCTATTTTTCAACTTAAAATATTTTAGCATAAGAATTTTTTTTTTTAAAAAGTAAAAAAATCTCTTCTTTATTTGCCAGTAACAAATACAATTTCACAATAAAGTCTGGGAGTCCCTGATACTTTCTCAGATATGTTCAGTTAATAACTGAATTGTCTGAAATTTCTTTTCAAATCTTGAATACACTTTTGGGGACAGAATCATTAACTGGTTCCAATAAATATCTATCTATTTCCTGATTTTAAGTCTCTCAGGCAAACTGTTCTTTGATTCTCACTGCAACACATAAATAAAAACATAAGCAGATACTAACTTGCACCTATCTGCCTTGCTGTATAGGTATCCAAACTCTTCTTTTTTTTTTTTTTTTTTAAAGATGACCGGTAAGGGGATCTTAACCCTTGACTTGGTGTAGTCAGCACCACACTCTACCGAGTGAGCCACGGGCCGGCCCCAAACTCTTCTTAATAGGACAATTTTCCCCAGGAAAATGTCTCTTCCCTATCATCTCTCTCTTCCTGTTGGTAGCTGGCTGGTACAGTGATCGAACAATGGACCTTCGTGTTATTAGCAGCACACTCTAACCAACTGAGTTCATTGGCAAGCCCCAGTATTATGACTTCTTAAAATGTGACATTAAGTATAGTGTTTTCTGCTTAAATATCTAGTCTTTTTGAAACAAATCTTCTGGGCTTTCCAAGGTTTTTAAAACAGTTGCTATTATCTCTGTGGATTAATCATATTTCAAATTACAGTAATATCACACATTTGTTTAGATATTTTTTGAAGTGAACTCAACCACTGAATATAAGGAAACAAACAAAACAAAAAATCCTCTGAACAGCCAAAACAGATGCCACAAAAAAATAACTAGCACTACTCATGCCTTCCCTTTTAAGAGGACCCTAAAAGAACTCAGTCAGAATCTGGTAACTCTCGCTCAGTGATTCAGATCATCATATTTCCCAGTCAATGGCAGCTTAAAGAAGAAAATTAAATAGGGATAATGAGAGTAATGGAAAGTCACAGTGATAGTAGCAAGAACTATCAGTCTGTCAACAAGTGAAGAAACAAAAAAATTAGTTAAATAAAAAAATAAATAGCACAACTACTTAAAAGGCACAGCAGGCTGGGGTCATTTAATACACATAGCTTAGTATCCTTAGGCATTCCTAATTGTGACAGAAGGCAGAAATGATAATATCATCATAAGGTATTCTGTTATCTCTGTTTTAAGCAGTAACAAACTGTAGAAGGCATTTTGTAAACATTTTCAACAAAAGTTAAAACAAAAAAATCAAAACTTTTAGTGATAATAAAAGTTCTATGAAAAATCTATTTAGTTTATGTGGACAATACTATACAAATATGACCTATTCTTCTTCATTTTTCTTTCCTGGTGTCCCTGCCACACACACACTTTTTAAAAGAGCGAAATAGGATTTATTTAGCTTGTCTTAAACTTTAGCTCTACAGCCTGTCCCAAGAAAGAACTCTTCTGAATGGAGAGATACCTCAAGATCCCCAACATTATGTCTTGGCTTAATGTGGAAGACTTACCAAATATCATGAAATGCTGCCACTGTCAGGTTTGGTCCATGTATGGAATCCCCCTACTGAACTGTCACAGAGCTGTGGTTCTTATGCTTCACATATCATAAAATACCCGATTTAATTCAGTGGGTCCTGGGGGGAACCCTACAGCTATTCTGAAGCAGCTGGTCATAGAACACAATTAGAGAAACATTGTCATAGAGCCTCCTTTACCTAGCTGTGCATATATTCAATTATCTGTTTTGTCCCCTCCTACACAGAAGATTTTCACCCATGCATTGGTGAATATGTGGCCTAGGATGTAGCATTCCAATAGTTAATCTCCATCTACCAAGTCTCTGAGTATGTGCTATAGCAAGGTTTTCACAGCTAAGTCTAATTCTCTACTTTTTTTCCTCTATTAGTATGTGAGCATTTATTTATCTGGGCTTGGATTTTTCTGCTACTTTCTCACACCGACCCAGTAAATCAAGGGACTAAATGACTTTGTTTCATCCACTTGTTCAAACTATAGTTTTGCTTATTTCTTTTTCACTACCCTAAAGGTTCTAAATTTGAAACAGGCAAGTGCTTATGTGAGATATTTTAAAGATTATACGTTACCTCATTGTAAGGTGAAAAAATAAACTGGAAGATGATCAATAGTCCAATTAGAGTGGGTTGGCTGTTATAAAAACCAAATGCAGCAAAAAGTTCCTTTTGACCAATTAATACAGCAAACAAGAAAAAACACAGGAAAGAATTCATCTAGAAAGAAGTACATAAAATTTCTAAATTATTACTAAGCTGATTTCACTGTGGAACCAGTAATACCAAAAAAGTACAAGAAAACATGGTGTAATTTTAAGAAAGGTGTTGGTGTAATCACAGAAGATTTTAGGTAGTTTTATAGTTTCACTTTTATTCCTAAAAGGAAAATAAAATTTCCCCAAATGTATAAACTACATAGTTTCTGTAGGGGCAGGCTTGAGTTGAGCCTCTTATAGTAGAGGGCTTGAAGTGGCCAATAGCAATGGGATATTTTCTCTCTGTAAAAAGTTAAAGGTCTAAAATGGATTCTGGCTTTGTTTTGTAAGATTGTAATCAGACAAGGCCTCCCACCTGACCTTGATGTGGAGGCTCCAAAGTAAGAGAATTTCCTTGAATTCTCTTTAGGACTACTGGAGCTATAATGAATACTTAGAAAAGTCAGAGAAAAAAGTTGATCTATCTTTATCAATAAATGAGAAAAAACCATCAAAAGTCTGTACTAAAATATGACCCCTTGAAGTAACATTGAAGAACAAATATCTTTCTTTTCCCTTAGCAGATTAGGATCTTGGAGGTCACCTATATCATATTTAACTGGACTGCTCCCAACAATTTACCAGGTGACTCAAAAGCTGCCAGCTTAGAGTGGGGCTCAGAACATAAGAAGGCTCATCAGCTGCCCCAGGAGGAAGTACAAGCAGCTATGCCACTCAGGCCTTATAACTCAGTGGATCTAATATGACAAGCTCCAATAGAAAACTCACAGTGAAGACTCAGACTTAAAATCTACACATCCATTTTCATCAAGTAACCATTGTCCCTTTTAAAAATAACTTTTGGTTTGCTATTGAGCCCTACTAGAGACTGACTTCATAGCAATGGGACACCCTGATCCTGCAACCTGAGCTGTTCCTCCTGAACTTGATGCTATGTTGATCCTCCTATTCAGGAAACTGGTATGCCCAGAAGCACTCCATTCTCATGTATAAATGGTATAGGAGTAGAAATAAAGCAAGTCATGAAGGTAGAAGTAAGTTAATGAGCAGAGGGCTCATACTCCAGGATGCCAACTCCTGCCACTCTGCCACCTTTCAGTCAATCCTTACTCAAGGGGAGTTCCCTATAATAATTTAATTGAGGAGGACAAAAGTGGAGTCTGTTTTACAAATAACTTAATACACTATGCTGGAACCAGCTGAAAGTAGTCTGCTGTGGCATTACAGTGCCACTCAGGGATGGTCTTGGAAGGCAGTGGTGAAGGGAAATAATCTCAGGGCAACTTTAAGTAGTATACTTCAGTGTCCACTCAGCCTGGCAGGAGAGAGAGCCTGAGCTAAGGACATACATACTAATTTATTGGCAGTGGAAAAATATGGTTTGGCTGGATGATCAAGGTCTTGGAACGAAATACAGGATGGTTAACAAGGAGATTTGGAGAAGAAGCATGTGGAAAATTTCCAAAATTAGACCAGAGTATGATTACAGTCTGGCCTAATGCGAATATTCACCAAGAGAGTCCCATGGTAGAGGAGGCTCTCAATGATTAGGTGGAAAAGTTACCTGCTCTGTGGAGGTTAGCCAGCCTTTTTCCACAGCCACTCAAGGACTTGGTCAAGGGGCTCATGAACACAGTGGCCAAGGTTACAGAGATGGAGTCAGTGCATTAGTCAACAACACAGACAGCCCCCCCACTGGCTCCTGCCAAATGCCCAATCTGTCAGAGAGGCTATGCACCCCAGCCCTGATGAGGTACCACACCTCAAGGACCAGCCCACAACCTCGTGGTAGGCTCATTCCACTGGACCCCTTCCTTCATGGAAGGGGCAGTGATTTTCCTTATATTAGATGGAGCACTTAATCTGAACTCAGATTCGGACTTATTTAATGTCTCATTCAGTGGCCATGTATCCACACAACATAGATTCAAACCAAGGAACTCATTTTTATACCTAAAGATGTAAGGCAACAGGAAAGTGCCCACAGGGCTTCACAAGTCTTCCCATGTAATCCATCACCCAGAACCAGCTGGCCTTTTAGAAAGGTAAGAAAACCCATTTAGGACTCAGGTAAGGCCACATATGGTCAGAACCAGTGAATAAGATATAGAGGTATTTCACTCAGAGCCTGAAAACCTGTTGGTTTAAAGGTAGTAATATACAGAGGAGGAATGTTATTGGAATGGTTTTCTTCTTCATATTTTCTACAATTTTCAATAAATATACAATTCCTTTTTTTTTTTTTTTGTGGTGGCTGGTCGGTATGGATATCGGAACCCTTGACCTTGGTATTATCAGCACCAAATTCTACCGAGTGAGCTAACCGGCCTGCCTATTTTAAAGCATTTTAATGTTTAAGTTACCTAGTCTTGCTCCTTTTGATCTTCACAGCTCTTATATATGACTGATTCTGGAGATGATAACAATGATGGTGACAACAATGAATATTTATATAGTACTTACTATGTTCCAGGTACTGCTCCAAACTCTTCAGATGTATTAACTCATTTAATTTTTAATCAGTCCTGTGTGGTATTATCAATCAATGAGGGAACTGAGGCAGACAGAGGTCACATAAGGAACTTGCCTGAGGTCACACAGTCAGTAAGTCAGAAAGCTGTGATGGGAAGCCAGGTAGCCTGGCTATGCAGGCTGTCTTAACCTCTTTACTATAAGTCCTCTCATGTCTGTCACACTTCTATTTGAATATCATGCCATAAAAAAAGATTTGTCACTCCAAACTTACCTGGCTGATAACAATATTTTTGACTGTGTGTCCCAACTTCCAGTGCCCCAGTTCATGGCCTAGTACAGCAAGCACCTCCTCATTTTTACATCCTTGTTTCTTATTCTGAATCAAAGAACAAATGGAAAATAAATTACTGAGAACCTCCAAAAAGTTTATACCTTTTAATGTAGTAATATCCCTTAATGGATTTTAACTTAAAGAAACAATCAACATTTGTATAGAACTAAAATTGTTCATTCACTTAAAATATTCCCTGAAGCACCACTCCATGTGAGACACTGGGTCAAGCAGTAAAAATAGAATCAGGAACAAGACAGACATTCCTCAACTTCACAAAGCTTAGAGTCTAGACTAACTTAATTAGGAAAAAAAACTTGAAAAAATATAAATCCTTATTAATAGGACAATAGTTAAATAAATCATGATAAAGTCATAGGACAGCCATATTATAAACCCATTAGAAACTTTGTTGTAAAAGATTATGTTCTAGAGGACTGACTGGTTAGCTCACTTGGTCAGAGTGTGTTATTATAACACCAAGGTCAAGAGTTCAGATCCCCTTACTGGCCAGCTGCCAAAAAATAAAAAAGCTTATGTTCTGACATGGGAAATTGCTCAAGATAGATACAGTCAAATAACAGTTATGTTATATACCCATTAGAAATGTTTTCAAAGATTATGTTCCGACACGGAAAAATGGTTTATTAGGTGAAAAAGCAGAAAACAAATGAAAAACATATAGTATGATTCTAATTATAAAAAAAAGAATGTGCATGTAAAAATACACAAATATAAAAAGCAAACTGAAAGTATATAAAAATGTTAACAGCAGTTATTTCTACATAATAGAACTACAGTGATGTTTAACTATTTTATATCTTTTGTATCTTCCAAATTATCCACAAATGAGCATGTATCACTCATTATTCAAAAAATACACCATAAATGCCATTTTAAAAATTGAGATTTTCGGGTCGGCCCAGTGACGCACTCGGTAGAGTGTGGCGCTTGGGAGTGCGGTGGCGCTCCCGCCGAGGGTTCGGATCCCATATAGAGACCGGTCCGCTCACTGGTTGAGCGTGGTGTGGGCGCGACACCGAGGGTTGCGATCCCGTTACCGGTCACGAAAGAAGACAAAAAGGAAAAAAAAAAAATTGAGATTTTCAAGTTAAGATAGCAGAAAGAACATTCACATCTAATTTGGTCAACAGATTTTTTTTTTTAAATCTATAAAGTCATAAGATGGGGAAAACAGGACAGGTGAAAACAGTAACAACATTTTGGAAGCAGGAAAGCAGAAAGACAAATGATAATGAACTAAGCAGGCCAAAGAAAAGTTGAATCATAAGCCAGCCGTGGAAAAAATGGAGAACCAGTCTGATTTACACCATCAAGTCTTCAAATGGCTTGGGAAATAACATCTGGAACAGGGAGGAAAGGAGGAGGTGGCTAAAATAGAATTGGGTGAGAGCTGTTTGATGAATGGCTAAAGCTCCAGATTCCTTCTCCAACTCCATGCCAGTAGGCACCTGCTCCTGCCTCATCCTGGCAAAAGCCTGAAAGTTTAATCTCATTGGAGAGGGGGAAAAAAAGAGGACCTTCCAACTAGGGGTCTGACATAGCTTAGGGCCAGGGTACACTAGCAATATACCATGTATCTAGTTACCTATTGATATGGTACCCTGAGTATTGAGGACTCCCTCTCTCAACCCAGTTTTCTCCCCACACTTGGCTCCCAGAACACTACCTGCCAGGCAGAAGATAAAAAGAATACTCTCCATGGGGACTCTGACCACCCAACCAGAAAAGACATAAAGATATTAAAACCAGGTGTTCCCCCAACAAAAAACCCACCCAGGTAACCCTGCAGTGAAGCTCAAAATTAATAAGCCTAGCCTATAGGTTCAGAGTTTTCAATCAGGTTTTTAGTCCCATTCTCTTACTACGGAGCAGATCCAAGGATTACCAGATATATGAGGTAAGCTGTTAAAATGGAAGACCAGATCCGGAAAAAAAGCAACATGGAATAAACACAAATTATGTAGGGAGAAAGTTTAGAGAGAGAAGATATTGAATCCTTGGAAAAATGAGAGAATGCTGTAAAAATGAAAAAATCAAAGGACAAAAATTTCTAGAGGTCTAACCAGTTAGCTCAGTTGGTTAGAGCACAGTGTTATAACACCAAGGTCAAAGTTTGAATCCCCATACCGATCAGCTGCCCGCCCCCCAAAAATCTTATAAATTAAAGCTTAATGGAAGGAATAGAAGATGATACAGAAATCTCTTAGAAAACAGAACAAAGACATAAAGAAATGGAAAACAGGAGAAAATATAGGAAAGTTTGGTATAAGAAATCCAATACTCAAGTAGTAGGAGCTCTGAAAAGAGAGAGTAGAAAAAATGGAAAGGAGGAAATCATCAACAAAATAATTCCAGAAAGATTCCTAGGGCCAAAGGACCTAAATTACCAGAATGAAAAGGCCTAATGCACATACCCAGCACAATGGATGAAAACGGACCCCACCAAGGCATGTGAAATTTCAGAACATTGAGAGAGAGAAAGGATTCAACAAGCTTTCAAAAGAGCAAAATAAGGTAATATACTAGGGTCTGTAATCTGAATGGCTTCAGGTACCTTACCAGCAACGTTAGAATCAAGCAGGCAATGGAACAATGTCTTCGCAATCTTGAAGGAAAAGTTTTTCCAATCCAGAAATCTATATCCCAAGGGGGCCGGCCCATGGCTCACTTGGGAGAGTGTGGTGCTGATAACCCCAAGGCCAAGGGTTCGGATCCCTATATAGGGATGGCTGGTTAGCTCACTTGGTAGAGCATGGTGCTGACAACACCAAGTCAAGGGTTAAGATTCCCTTATCGGTCACCGTTTTTTTTTAAAAAAAGAAATCTATATCCCCAAATAACAAGCTAGTACGACAGAAAAATGAAGACATTTTGAGTCCCTGAACTCAGAAACTTTACCTACTATGCAACCTTTCTCAGGAAGGTATTAGAGGATGTTCTCTACCAAACTGAAGGAGTAAATTAAGGAACAAAAAGCTATGGAATACAGAGCATGAGAGATCCGACAAAGGAGAGAAGTGGAGGAAATCTCTTAGGATAATGGTACAAGGCATCCCGAAATAACAACTGTACACCAGATACAGAGGGTAACCCATCCAGATTTGAACAGCGTGATTCCAAAGAAGGTCTGTGAGAGCTGTCATCATCATGCCCCCTCTGTCACCATATCATCTTTCTAATCTGATGAAACTAGTGGAAGATGTATGCCACCAAGAGAAGGAAGGAAATCAACATGGATTCCAGTCTAAAAGGAAGGCAAAGAGATATCAAGAATGACCATTAAGGGAAGTCTAATATGAGAGCTTACAGCAGGACTTCAGATAAACCACCTCAAAAATAAAAAGAGAATAGAGACCTCTCCCAGGGTGTGAAGGAGATAAGGGAGAATAAAACTGATAATGTTGATGATGCAATTAACTTTAGAGAAAATTATATTGAGAGATTTTGGAAGTTATGAGAATTAGCCAAAAGATACAAAGAAAACTAAGCAAATTAACAATAATAAAAAAAATAATTAAGCAAGAGGGGAAATAGGTAAAGAAAGCATGTTCAGCAGTGAATAATAATTATATAGGTACAATTATGTAAACACTGCTACTGGGTAAGCCAAAAATTGTAACATGATTATATAGGAAGAATTGGAGGAAGGGGAAGCTGCGCAGATGTTAGGAGAAGAAAGCTAAATTCTCATCTACCATAACTGAAAGTCAATAGTGTCAACAGACAGCAGCATACATATATTACTTACAAATATGGAAATGTGTAAATGTCAGAAGCTAACAAGGTTGAAATCTGTGGGGAGAGGGGACTGGCGAGGGGTAAGAAGCATAAGTAAGGAAGGAACAGGAAAACTACTATATTTTATTATAAGCTTTTTGTGCTCTTTGAAATTTTAAACAGTATGCTTATGTTACTTTAACAAAGTGAAAACTAGTGTTAGTATTTACTGGCACTCTGCTTCTCTTAATTTTAGTCCACCCTCTCAAACCATGTAAAAACATAATCATATATATATTTTTTTCTTCAACACATATGAAGACTAGGCCAGAAAGATAAAAAAAAAAAATAACAAAAGTTGCTAACATTTATTAAACAATAACAATGTACCAGGCCCTGTGTACTGAATACTTATCTCATTTATATATCACAACCACCATACGAGATAAGTACTTTTAATATTATCACTTTACAGATGAGAAAATCTACGCAGAGAGAGAAGTTAACTAATTTGATTATGGCCATATAGCCAACAAGAGGAAAATTTGGGATTTGAAGCCAAGTAGTCTGATAAAAGAGATCTGGGCTTTCAACTTTTACATAAATTATGCAGGTAAAGGTAAACTATTCAACATTTATCAATCAAATGAAATAAACAATTTTAGTTGGCATGTATGTAATAATTTATTAAAATATCATTACTATACTGCAAAATAATTAAATATAAATGGTAAAGTATAAGATTTACAAAGCCAAATAAAATTCTTCTGTTTATATACTTTCAAGATTCAACGTAAACAGTGTCAAGACAGAATGACCAATTTAATCTTATACACACATTCACACATGTACATACCTGGATGCCTGTATCTCGCAATATTACTAACTAGATAGTTTGAAAAACAGTCAAACACCTAAAAATGCTGAATAAGTTACAACAAATATACTTTTAAACATATAATTTATATCATTAGAAAGTAAGGAAAAGCCAAAGGTGAAGAGTTGAAATGAAGATCCTTTGCATAAATCCATGAAGGGTTATACTCCGAGTCAAAGAATAGGCTAGAAAAAAATATGCTGGCAAAACAACTCAATTGGGTGAAGTCTCATCTAAACTGGAAAAAGTTCATGAAAATTCAAAATCATTATCTGCGTGGTCCAGAAAGCCCCAAGCTGAGACATTAAGGTGCTTCTGGTTTGCTAGCACTGGGGACAACTGACAGAAGCAAATGTAAATCTTTTATTGAGGATTGTACCCTAAACCCAAACCCCTTAGGATTCCTAAAGATTAAGATCAGTGATAC